CGCACGTCGTCGCCCGCGGCGGCCGTGACGTGCTGCAGCCGGCGCTCGCGGATCTTGGGCTTGTGGCACACGAAGTACTCGAACAGCGCCGAGTCGGGCAGGTTGCGCAGGGCGTCGCCGCGCACCTCGGCCGGGGTGGCGCAGGCCGGCAGCCGCCCGTCGAAGTTGAGGGTCTTTCGACGCTGGACGATCCACAGCAGGCGGCAGTCGCAGGCCAGCGGGTTCCCGTCCACGCGCAGCGTTTCGAGCGTGTTCACCGAGTGGAACGTGCTCTCCTCCAGGGTGGAGAGCAGGTTGTTGGAGAGGTTGAGGAGGCGGATCTGTCGCAGGCCCAGGAAGGCCTGGGGCTCTACCACGGCCAGCAGAGCGCCCGCGAGGTGGAGCTCGCGAAGGCGGACCAGGTCCCTGAAGGACCCCCGGGGCACCGTGCTGATGGGATTGTGAGACAGGTTGAGGCAGGTCAGGTGCGCCTGGTGGCGGAGCGCGGCGGCGGGGACGGCGGTGATGTTGGTGTGGGTCACGGAGAGCGAGGTCAGGTTGAGGCCCTGCAGGCTGCCCGCAGCCACCTCCTCCAGCAGCGGCCAGTGGTCGATCTCCAGGTGCAGCAGCCCCGGCAGCCTGCAGAAGTTCTGGTCTTCCAGGGTGGCGATGGCCAGGTGTCGCAGCCGCAGGGCCCCTAGGCCGCGCAGGGGGCCCAGGGACTCCCCGGACAGCGCCGTGAGGTTGCAGCGCTCCAGGGTCAGCTCCTCCAGCGCCAGCAGCCCCGCGAAGGCCCTGCGCGAGATGAACACCAGGTCGTTGTCGCCCACCTCGAGCGTGCGCAGGCTGTGCAGGTCCTGGAACGTGTAGTCCAACAGGATGACCAGCTTGTTCTCGCTCAGGTCCAGCAGGGTCAGGTTGTCCAGGCGCGTGAAGACCCCGGGCGGGATGAGCTTGAGCTGGTTGCCGCGGAGACGCAGGACGCGCAGGCGAGGCAGGTTGGCGAAGGCGCCCGGCTCCACGTGCGCAATGACGTTGAGGCTGAGGTCCAGCTCCTCCAGCGCCGGCAGCGAGGCCAGGTCGCCCGGGTTCAGGCAGCGGATGCGGTTGCGGCTCAGCTCCAGCACGCGCGTCTCAGCGGGGATGCCGTCGGGCACTGCGGTCAGGCGGCGGCGCGCGCAGGCCACCGCGCGCGTGGGAACTGCGCACTCGCAGCGGGCCGGGCAGCCCCGCGCCGGGGGCGGCGCTGCCGGCAGCAGCAGGAGTTGCAGACTGAGCATGCGCAGCCAGCAGGTCATCGTGCGGAGCGTGGCCTAGGGCCGCACCAGCATCCTTACGGGCACCTGGGGACCAAGCAGTGTCAGCACTTCCCTCCAGAGCCTCCCGACCCAGCCCAATCCGGCTGGGGAGGTTCCACATGGGTCCCTAGAGTGGGACCCCCCCCAACTCCACAACTGGGGGTCTCCAGGCAAGAGAACTGACCCCTATAAACCTGCAGGCTGCATGGCCAATGGTCAGAAGTTGGGACCAACCCAGGTGTCCATGGAGGAAAGGGGGATGCAGACGGCATGGTCCATCCTCATGCTGGAATATTACTCAGCCAGAAAAAGGAGCACGGCTGTGACACTTGCTACAGTGGGGGCTGACCTTGGGGACATTGTGCTCAGTGAGAGACACAGCATGGGCTACATGGCCCGGAAATGCCCAGGACATATGACTCCAGAGACAGGAAGTGGATCTGTGGGTGCTGGGCCTGGGGAGGGGATGGGTGACTGCCCACAGGGACTGGGTTTCTTTTGAGCTGATGGCATGGTCCGGAGATAGAGGGGATGGATGGTTGTATAACCCTGTAATTGTACTAAACACTCCCAAACTGAAGTGTACATTTGAAAGGTGAGTTTATGTTATGTGACTTTTAAAATTTTTATTTACTTTTTTTTTTCTCATTACTGAAGGTTGAACAAGGGCCTTTGGACTGAGCTAGATCCTCAGCCCTATTTTTATTTTTTATTTTGAGATAGGGCCTCAGTGAGCCACTAAGTTGCCTAGGTTGGCCTGGAACTTGCAATCCTCCTGCCTCAGCCTCCTGAAGACAGGAATTACAGGGTTGCACCAAAACTCAGCTCTGTGATGTGGACTTTTACCTCCATGAAATGTCATCAAAGAGAGGAATCACTGAACTGGAGAGGAGCCATACAAATATAAAGCACAGATTTTGTTGAAAAAGATATTTATGTTGGGTACCTGTTATTTTAGCTACTTGGGCGGCTGAGGCAGGACAATTGCAGGTTTGAGGCTAGCCTGGGCAACTTAGTGAGATCCTGCACGGGGTGCAGCTCAGTGGTGAGTGCTTGGCTAGTATGCGTGAGACTCTGGCTTCCACCTCCAGTGCTGCAAATAAATAAAAAAAAGAAAAGAAAAGCCAGGCGTGGTAGTGCACCCCTGTAATCCTAGCATTCAGGAGGCTGAGGCTGGAGGATTACTGAGCACCCAGGCAGGCTGAATTACATAGTGAGACTCTCAAAAAACCAAAACCAAAAATATATAAAATAAAGTAAAATAAAATGAAGACATTTATTGAGTGCACAATTTTCCTGGCTGGAGTGCAGTGGTGACTGACCCGGCCAGGGAGCTTGCTCTCCGGGACTCACACCAATAGGCTGGGGACACAGATGGCCCTAATGTCTTTTTGTCCCCGGGGAGGCACTACAGCTCAAGGTCCTCCCTGTGTTCTCCGCCCTCTGTTACCGTTTGTCTACATTGTTCTGACCGCCACTGGATATGTCAGTGTTTTAACTCCCTGTCGCCCGTCCACACCCTTAAATTGGACCTTCAGCTCTATCGGCCTCTGTGGGCCTCACTGGCTCCCCCTACCGGGGGCCTGGAGCAACGCCCAGGAGCCCAGTTTGATAAACACTTCTGCCTTTGTCCTCGCCTCCCCTTTGTGTGTGCGCACGCTGGAGATGAACCTAGGGGTTTGAGCACACCACGCAGGTGCACAGTCTGACCGCAACACTGCTGCATTTAATAAAAAAGGACAAGCGCTAAGTGTGATGGTACACCCGTTAGCCCAGCACCCTGGGAGGCTGAGGCGGGAGGATCCAAGGTTCAAGGCAAGCCTGGGCAACTTAGTGAGATGCAGTCTCAAAATAAAAAGGAAAGCCAGGTGTGGTGGTACATGCCTGTAATCCCAGCACTTGGGAAGCTGAGGCAGGAGGATCGTCGTGAGTTTGAGACCAGCCTGGGCTACAAAGTGAGCTCAAGCCCAGCCTGAACTGTGTACTGAGACCCTGTCTCAAAAAGACAAAAAAAATTTGAAAAATGAAAAATAAAAGGGCCGGGGAGGGCCAGGGACATAGCTCAACAGCACAAGTCCAAGAGCAAGGTCCTGCATTATTAGATTCCCACTACCAAAAACAAAGAGGGGGGGATACAGCTCAGTGTGAAGGCCTCAGGTTCAGTCCCCAAGACCACAAAAAAAAAAAAAAAAAAGGCAATGAGAACAAAGGAAAGGACGCCCTGCCCAGGTTCCGAGGGCTTCAGCAGGATGGCTGTGCAGGGCTGGCGGGAGGGGTGACCTCACGCCAGGAGCCAGCGGTGTCCCTCCCAACTAAGGACACGTTCAAGCCTTGCTCCGGGTGCTGGCGCAGGGACCTTGCTGGGAAGGGCATTCTGCAGTTGGGGTCGGGTCAGGGTGGTCACCCTGGGCGAGGTGACCTTGGTCCAGTGACCGGGGGCCTCACAGGTAGAGGGACAGCGCAGGGTGGGGACAGAGCAGAGGCTGCAGTGGTGTGGCCAGGGCGGGGGACTTCCGGAGCACTGGGGTCTGGAGAGGCGGGAAGGAGCCCGGAGCCCTGGGGGTGCGCGGCCCTGCCACAGCTTAGCCTTTGCGCTGTGGCCCCCAGAACTGTGTGTGTGGTGCTCTGTTACAGCACCCCAGGAGGTTCATGCAGACCCACAGTGGTAAGGCCGGGCATTCCAGGCCGGGAGCCATCTGTGCAAAGGCCCTGGGGTGGGGTGTGCACCAGCAGGTGGAGCACCAAGTCCTCAAGGCGGTGACATCCTGGCTCTGTCTCCTGGCTGCAGCGGCCTCACTCTGCTCCCCACTCCACCCAGCTCCAGCCCAGCTCCAGGGGTTGAGGCGGGCCAGGCAGGCAGGGAAGGAAGCCAGATGGCTCTGTGGCTTCCGCATGGGGCCTCCCGTCTGCTAGGAGGCTATTTTTGGCAACTGAGCAGCTGAAGCCCCCAGGCTTCCCCTCAGGTCCCGCTGGACTCCCAGGAGGGCAGCACCTGCCTCCCCGCATCTCGGCCTGGTTCTTACTGGTGACAGATCACATAGAACAGGAGAGTTTCTACCCTGAAGTTGTAGTCTGAGATGAGATCACAAACCAGGTGCGGTGGCGCATGCCTGTCATCCCAGCATGTGGGAGGCTGAGGCAAGAGGATCCCTGTGAGCTCAAGGCCAGCCTGAGCAACTTAGTTTCTTAGTAAGACCCTGACTCAAAATAAAAAGAGCTGGAGACGGAGCTCAGTGTAAAGGCCTTGAGCTCAATCCCTAGTACTACAGAGGGAAGGGAGAGGGCAAAAGGCAGGGAGAGAATTGGTGGAGGGTAGGTCCCACACCAATGGCTGTTGTCCTCACAAAAGGGAAATGTGGACACACACACACACACACACACACACACAGCTTTGTGACAATGGAGGCACAAATTGGAGCAATTCATCTTCAGGGTTTTTGTAGTGTTATTTTAAACAGTGAAAAACTGGAACTAATCTAAGTTAGCACCAATAGGGGATGGACATGCCAGCCATAGTGGCACATGCCTATCATCACAGCTCTTGGGAGGCTGAGGCAGGAAGATCTCCGTGAGTTCAAGGCCAGCCTGGGCTACATAGGGAGACCTTGTCTCAAAAACAAACAAACAAAAAAACAAAACAAAACAAAACAAAACAAAACAAAAACCAAAATCCCCAGGGGATCTGTGAAATAAATTTTTTTTTTTCTGGTACCAGGAATCGAACTCACCACCTCATGCTTGCCAGGCAGGTGCTGTGCCGCTGAGCTAAATCCCCAGCCCCTAAACTTTTTTTTTTTGAGACAAGGTCTCATTATGTAGTTCAGGCTGGCCTGAAACTCACTGTGTAGCCCAGGCTAGCCTCAAACTTATGGTGATTCTCCTGCCTCAGCCTCCTGAGTACTGGGATGACAGGTATGTGCCACCATGCTCAGCCATATCTGTTACAAGAATGTAGGGAGACCCATATGTACCTATTCAGCTGAAACTGAGTCATGGGGGGGGCAGTAATAGAACTAACCTAAGTGCCCATCAGTTAGGGCTCAGTCAAATAAACAGTGGTTTATCGATTGATGTTTTTGTGGGAGCTTTATACCCAAGAGGAAAGACACTGAAAGTCCAGGTCTATAAAGGGGAAAAAAATTGAGGTTGCCAAATAATTACAGAGAGGGAGATCCCACGCAGGACAAAATGGAGCATCAGTGAATTCTAGATCTGGGAGACGGGGCAAGACATGCGCTGGGGCCCCCAAATGCTGGAAATCACCGGCCCTGTGGAACTGCGCTGTGAGTGACAGGAAGGTCGCGGCAGTCACTGAGATTGTGGTCAGAGCACAGGGAATCCCAGGGACCTCCTGGGGGCCTCTGGTCCCCACCCAGGGCTTGGCAGGCACCCACCGGAAGTGGCCTAATCCCGCCTGGGCACGGCTGGCAGTGTAATCCCCCTGATGTGGCTTTCTAGGTCACCTCCCTGGCCCTTGCTATGGACAGGATGCGGAGAAACTGTGTCCCCGGAGGGCACAAGGGTCTGGGATGCCTGCTGTCACATCCCGCCAGCCGCCCATCTTGTGAGTCCGGCCATCGCCACCTTAAACCTGCCCTGGCTCTGTGGCCACTCCTGGGTGTCAGTTTCCTTCCGTCTGACCGTGGGAATGGGGGACAGAGGCTCAGCGGCCCACCCTGGAGGGGCTGGGGCACCCCTGGTTTGGCTCCAAGGGGGAGATGGCTGAGCAATCTCGGGTCCTGAAACAAAACTGGTAAGAAGCTGGACGCAGTAGGACAGTGAGTTCAAGGCCAGCCTGGACTCCATAGTGAGGCCGCGTCTCCAAAAACAAAAAACAAAACAAAAGACCCCTGGTAGGAACAGAGCTGCTGGGTTTGTCCTCTGTGGGAAAGAACTTCACACCCCTAGAATAAAACTGAAGTCCTCCCGGCATGACCTGCCTGTCCCCTCCCCTCCTCCCTCTGCTCCAGTCACTTGGCTTCCTTGCTGTCTCTGTAAGCACTGGCTCTGTGCTGCCCCAGGGCCTTTGCGTGGCTGAGCCTCTGCCTGGACGGTCCTCCCCGCCTGGCTCTCCCTCTCGCACTGGTCTCACCTGAAATGTCACCTCCCTGGTTACTCCTGTGACAGCGACCACACTCCAGGGTCCCCAAAGTGCCAATCAAACCTTTGCTCAATGTGGCCATCCCTTCTGGGACTGTAGAGAAGGTGACGACCGCAGTGACGACCGCAGCAAACCCGTCCATCGCCCCTGCTCGGCCCCAGCCCTGGGCTGAGGGCTCTGCCCTGAATGTCTCCTTTTATCCCCATGACAATCCCGACTGGGCCCCCCTGCCACCCCCACTTTGCAGACAGCAACATCAAGGCTCAATGCAAACTAAGTCACCTCCTGCCTGGAGAGGCTCTTCCTGAGTGGCTCTGAGATGAACCAGCAGTTTCACATAAGAGATATTCAGTGAGCACCTACTGTGTGCCACACAGGCACCCTGGACACACCTGGGCCCAAAACAGACTCTGCCTTTGACAGGGACAGGGACAATGCCCTTTGTATGAGGCTGACCATGGGGTTTTTGAGACAAGGTCTTACTATGTAGCCGAGGCTGCCTCGAACTCATGGAGATCCTCCTGTCTCAGCCTCCCGAGTGCTGGGATGACGGGTGTGTGTCACCATGCCCCGTTTCAGGGAGAGTGCCTTTGGGGAATGGGTACACTTGGTGAGGTCATGGTGAGGCCAGAGGCCAGGCTGAATCCCTCCTCCAGTGCAGAGCACCCCTGACACATGCAGACTTTGAGTCCCCAGCAAGCAAAGCAGGCCACCGCGCTGCTGCTGGAGCCATTTAGGTGGAAGCCTGGCTCCCTGGGTGGGCAGGACCCACCTTCCTCTCATCCCTGGGCCCTTAGGCTGTGCTCTGGCGCCCCATCCAATGTCTGTCTCAGTGCCACGATTGTGGCAAAGGCTACCTCCACCCAACCACTGGGGAAAACCTGCCCTGCACTCAGGACAGAACCATCCCCATGTCCTGGGTCACAGGACTGCGCAGGAGGCAGCCTCATCCCAGCTGCTGAGAACCTCACTCACTCCCTGTGCCCCAGGACCTTTGCACACCCCACCCTGTTTCTACTCAGTTTAGACTCTCAGCAAAGGTTCATGGTATTGTGCTATGCTCCCAATGGGATGACACTGGGGGCTGAGTTGAGGCCTCTGTGACTGTGGGCACCCCAGGGAGAGGGCTGCCCACTTGGTCCTTCGTGCTGGGACCAGGGAAGTCTTGAAGGAGACCTCGGTGGCATT